TGCACCAACTGAAGATTCAGCACTGGGCTAATTTCTAAGCCAACGAATGAAGACAGTAGAGGTTATTCAAACAAATTTCTTTTCTTATTATTTTTTCTCCTCTTTTTCAGTGCATTCATATATCCTTAAATAATTATTTTGATTTATTTTTTTGTTTTCTCTCTGTCTTTAAAAGCCTGAAATGCATCTTCTGTTATAGATGCCAGGCAAAGTAATTATTTTTGTATTATATTTAAGCATTACAAAAAGCCAGATTGGGAAGGAAGGAAGATTGACAGCAGTGCCTTTATTAAATTACATGCCTGTTCCCAGCAGAATGATTGGAAGACCTGCAAGACCATACAATTTCAGAATGTACAGTCTACCTCTCTGTGAGATTGCCCATTACATACAGACATTATTAGTCTTGAATATATATACATGCATATACATATATAATGAGAGTTTCGTCTTCAGCTGTTTTTTGCTGTTCTGACAGAGCAATACTCTCAGGTAAGTGGTGCATGACCAACCCAGAAAGGCATGACCAAACTAGTAGAGCCTAGGCCACCCTCCTCAGGTTTCTCAGCATAAGAACATCTCCACAGGGTCACACCAGGTTCTTTGCAGCCCCCATCTACATCTTCTATCAAAAATCTAGGAAAAACCAGAAGAGGGCAAGCGTATACATTGTGGTAAAATATCTTCCTGCGTCCCAGCAATATGTGGGTTACTGACTTGCCATGCCAGATGTTGGATCTACCACGTAGATAATAAATTTTCTCAGTCCTTTCCTGAATACTTTACACGTTTGGCTATCACAACATCATGAGCCAATAAATTCTACAGTTTTATTATGTGCTTTGTGAAAAAAGGTGCTTGCTTCTGTAAATCTATACTCTGTATGTATCTGCTGCCTGATACAGGATTCTGGCATAATTACAGAGAACAAAACACAGGAGATGAAATCACAGGTAAGCAGGCTATTAAAGCCAGTGACATTCACTGGATTTCCCATTTTCTACAGCATTTAACTATTATCAATATCTAAATACTAGCCCTGTGAGTGATTTCATTACTGAACTAAGAAAAATCTTCTCAGTGTAATGGATGTCTCTTACCAGATTGTCCTCTGCATGTCACAGGGATTTGATAACTGCACCATCATACCCACAAGGTTTCAAGCCAGCCTAGTAGATCTCTGGTCTGTGTGTTTGAATTTGAATTCAGTAAGAGTTTCACATCAAACACCATACAGCCTAGACTGAAGATTTAACTTTGGTTAGCTTGGCTAAGTTTAGTCCAGCTGAGAGCAAGCTGTACAACAGTGTGCAATCACTTTGTCGCCGGAGCCATCTGGGTAAGAACTACCTCTTCTGCTCAGCTTTCCTCTCAGCAATAGCACGTTGCCCTTGTTGTATGAAGGGGATGCAAGAGACAAGTCTAAACCAAATTACAGTAGAATGGCAAAACAACATCAGAGGGGAAACAACAGGGAGGAGACAGGAATATCATTCATGTCAACAAATAAACTAAACATATGGAAACAGCATTTAAGGCATGTAAAAGAAGTTGATATGACCAGATGGCTGAGGAGCAAGAAGAGAGCAATTCCAGAAACTGTAAGGGAAATAGAGAACAAGAAAAGAGAATAAAGATTATGAACGTCACACTGAATAAGACAAATCCAAATGGAATTTAACAGGAAGACTAGAGCAGTAGTTATGAAAAACGAAAAAAAAGGTGGGGGAAAAAAGTCAGCAGAGGTTCAAATTGAGCCAGGAAGTATGCCTTTCCCACCCGCGGAGAGATAGCAACCTGTGCCGTCAGCATTAATAGTTTTAGATACTCTGCTACCAAGGAGGATCTTTGCAGACACAGTAGTAGGGTCCACGAGAGCAGAAGGGAGAGACTGGCCAGGTTGGAAGGACAGCTTTTGGGGTAAGTTACATGTTTAAGATCTTCAGAGCTGGGTTCAGGGCCTGGCTTCCTCAGACACCAAATAAAGTAGTTCTCTCTTCCGTGCCTTCATACCCCTTTAATAAAATTAAAATAAAAATATTTCTATCCTTTCTCTGTCTCATTTACCAAGACAGATGACTCTTAAGGACTGACAGACATCTGTATGGTTCTTGCTGGCAGTGAGGTCCTGATTCAGCTACAGACACTGCTGCAGATCCCAGTAAAGCAAATATTAGGGTGCCTAGTATTGGAAGTCTTAAGCATTAGCATATATGTATTTATTGATAAATAAGTATAATACTTGAATTACTCAATTATATACAATATTTACACATTGTTTTGGATTTATTCACCTTCCTGTCAGCTGGTTTCAGAAATATAAACTTTAACAACGCCACACAAGGGCTTCACAAGGTAAGAAGGAAATGCTAATTAGTTTTATCCTTTTGTGAAACAATCCATCAAAAGTTAATTAGAATAGGTTTGCTCTTTCTTTGCAAAAATAATCCATAAGAAAGACTGATAGGCAGAACAAACTGCATCTTGCACAAAGGTGGTAGGATTTAAGTGATTTTGAGCTATGCTCCCAGAACTCAGTTGCCTTCAGGCATCTATCTGGTCTTTCTCTGTGGATGGCATAATTAGAACTTGAGTGAAAACCCCAGTGGTGAAGCCTGATAAGAAGTTAATCTTCCAGGCTCCACATGGGCCAAGAGAGATGCACCAGAAAGTCCAATTAGCAAAGGCTAGATTTTGCCGTAGCATTGCTCAGCACTGATAAACAGCTGCAGCATCCACTTCTGAGGCACTTCAGCTCAGCAGCGCGCAAGTCCCACGTACGTTACAAGGGTAAGTAGCACCATGCAAGCATGGGGCACCACCTGCACCTTACACCTAGTGCGCAAATGGCAGAAAAGCAGCTCTGTGATCCAAGCTCATCACACTTCTCCACACGACCTTCATACTCACGGTGGGACATGTAAATCCTGCAGATCCACACACACCTCTGGTAATAGGATTCAGCTTCAGTGCTTTCAGCCACACTGGGTATAGATGTAAGCTAAGGCATTTTTTACTGCATTTGGGAGTACCACAGAGGGTACTCGTCAATAGGATCTGATCGTAGGTTTCTTGAACTCTCTGACTGAGGCCAAAAAAGCATAATTTGGGTCAAATCCATGTTATCCCAACTTTAGACCAAGGCAGCCTAAGAGAGAACCAAAAGCATTACAGCAAGCTCACCCCCCTACAGCCTTGTATGAGAAAAGTGAGAAGAGGATTATATTTCATTTCCCATCACCTGGAAAGAAGAGAGGAAAAAGTTCTTGGCTGTTGGAAAAGCACTGCAGATCCAGAAAAGAGAGTGCTCAGCACCTATTTTTTGCAAGACAGAGACCTTTTCTTTTATGGGAGGAAAGCACTTTCCTAATAGTCACAGGCATGCTGAGGCCCAACATTCATGGACCCAACAAACATCCCTCTCCATCTAGGGGCATTTAAGAGCAAATCCCAGTTTCAAGAGGGATGAAGGATGTGGAAAATGCTCCTAAGGAATTTGACTGGTGTCTCCAGAGAAAGCAACTGTGGTATGACTGCAACGGAAGGAGTTAACAGAGATTGAAATTGTTTTATTAAGTAGGTTTGCCAGAATTTACTTATTATTAAACCTCGTTAGTCGGAGACTGTCCTTGTACTCCGTGTTCTTACCAGTAGCTGCCTGATGCCTGCTGAATAGACGGAGGGATGCTGGAGAGATTATTTCTAAGCCCTTCCCCCCTCCCTCTCCCCTCCTCTTCCAGGACCACACTGACAGTCCCAAGGGAAACAGAGGAGAGACAGGGAGAGCGCAGGATCCACCAGCTCTCACTCAGCTTATTTCATCAGGAAGCCCCAGGAGTCCAGAAGAGGAGCTGCCACTTAGGATACTGTCTCCTTTGCAAAGGACCTATTAGTACAACATATATTACATGAACACGTATGAATATTTTCCCCTTCCAGGGAAGAAGCAGAGAAAGCAGAAAGAGACTGCAATCTCCAGAGCGCTATAGTGATTTTCTGTGTAATCAATACTGTAAAATATCCCCAGGTCTTTCTGCTGGATTGTAACTCAGAGGAGAGCTGATCAGTTTGCGGCATGTGTACTTCACCTGCGGGGAAGCCAGGCACGGGGCAGCAGCCCGTGGCGCGGTGGTAAGTAACTTCGGGGAAGTTTCCTTGCAATTTTTGCAGTTCACTGACTTGGGGTAACAAATACCTTTGAATCTTTCGAGATTATGAACAAAACCAGGGGTCTGTTCCTGAAGGGGGGAAGTGAAGGGGTCCATGTAACAAAGTTTTCTCCAGGGTGGGCAAACGTTCCCAGTACCTTCTCAGGAATTTGGAGTGACATGAAACACCGTTGATAAGAATAGTCATCATTTATACAGCACTTTACCTCTTAAGGCATTTTACAAGCATCTACTAGCTAATCCCTGCAATACCCCCGAGAGGCATGCAAAACAGGCGTGCAGTGAAAGGAAGAGGAATTGCAATCTGAATGTTCAAGTTAAAGCAATTGGGAACTTTGCACCCAGCTGATGGCAAGGAATTGACCACTCTAATAAACTATTAAGCAGCTTAGTTGAGTTAGCATGTGTTTAAGGGTTTATCGAAACAAGAACGCAAAACGATAACCACAGGAAAATACAACGATCTAATGACGACCAAGATATGCTGGGAGAAGAGACTGATCTGTTCACATTTGGATTTGCAGACATCCGACTCTTCGCGATAATTATGAATGAGGCTTTAGCTCTCCTCTGTGTCTGGCTGTTGCCAGACAACCAATGAGGCTGCAAAGCAAATTGCACTCACAGGCTGCAGATTTCAGGAAGAAGCATAGAGGTGACTTTTACTTAAAAATCAGGCACTCGTGAATTTTGTGATTTAGGAAAGTAACCTGAAACACCTTTTCTCTTTCAATAACCTCTACTATGTTTTCTCCTCCTTCCTGTATCTTTTGGCTGACAGATAACCCTGCTCTGATGCCATTTCGGATGTCCCAGTGAGAACTCTTAGAGATGCCTATTCTCTCCGGAGGCAGTGACCAAGACTATAGTAACATTAGCTACACGTCATGTAATTCCTTGAGCCACTTCTTTCCTGTCTCCGTTGAAACCCCTTCTGTCAAAGGGGTCCATTACCAAAAAGCCAGGAGGATTTATCATCCTGATCAAGTCTCTGCAGTTGATCTAAAGACAGAGATCATGATAAATGTTGGAGGCATCAAGTACCTGCTACCTTGGAGTACTTTAGATGAATTTCCCCTGACCAGACTGAGCAAACTTAAGTTTTGCAGCAGTTATGAAGAAATAATTCAGCTGTGTGACGATTACGATGAAGACACCCATGAGTTCTTCTTTGACAGGAACCCCAATGCTTTTGGGATGATTGTCAGCTTTCTAGCAGCAGGGAAGCTGATGCTCTTACGAGACATGTGTGCCTTGTCTTTTCAGGAGGAGCTGACATACTGGGGGATTGAGGAATCCAACCTGGAGAACTGCTGCTTTCGAAAACTATTTCAAAAATTGCAAGAGTTGGCTGAGATACGCAAAGAAGAGGACCTCCGAAGGAGCAAAGAAGCTACATGTGTCTTGGACGAGAAAACAAAATTTGGACAGTTTATGAACAAACTCAGAGATATGGTAGAAAATCCCCAGTCAGGACTCCCAGGCAAAGTCTTTGCTTGTCTCTCCATTCTCTTTGTGGCCACCACAGCTATAAGCCTTTGTGTTAGCACAATGCCAGACTTAAGAGCTGAAGAAGACAGGGTAAGTCAATCCTTTTTAACTGGTATACCTACAGAATTAAAAGAAAATTGTCTGTCTTACTAGGTTTGCATCATTAAAAAGATAAAAAAGATACAAAAAATCCATAGCAATGAGGCTCAAAACTGTCGCTGGTAATGAAATGGTCTATAACTGAAAATGCAACAATGGCTTAAATTTCTATTTTACAACTTGTCAGCTAAAATACAGGAAACAACTACTAAACAGAATAGCTACTGCAGCTCTCTAATACAGCATTGTTCTTCCTTCTTAAGCAGTTGCTAGTGTAAGTGATATTAACTTGTTAGCACTGAGACTCACAAACTCACATTATGGAGTTTTCAACATGCTCTTCACTTACAAGCAGTCTCTAGTTTGGACACATCAGCTAAAGAAATTTTTTCCTCTGACATCTTTACTTTTCATAATAGCCAAGTGTCTTCCCTTGTGATAACGAAGTCAAATCTTTAAAGAGGAAAAAATATTCATTAACTTTTCCTTCAGAATAATGTTACATTTCAATAGTTGTGTAAAGATTAAAGGATGAGAGATACGTGAACTATTTTTGCAGATACTGATACTTAAAGCTGTGCTTCCAAAATCATAATTCCATGCTGACAGAATTCTGTATTTGCCCACATATATATGTACATATTGTAGGAGTAATGCCAAATCCTAGCTGAACTACTAACTGCATTTAAACCTTTTCAAGTAAGTAATTGACAGTCATTTGGTACATCTAAATCAACCCTGTATCACACATGAAGGATCTTCTTTATAATATTGTTGTGAATAAGTCAGAATTTTAAAGATTTGTTATTCTAATAATGAAACTGAGGAAAGTAACAATCCAAAGTTATTTCAGATGTAGTAATGTCCAAATTTATCAAATAACCTCGACTAATTTCTTTAATGAATCCTGCACTTCTTTCTCAAACTTACCTTCCAAAAGTGTTGAGGAAATTCAGGTCAAATAGACTCCCTGCCCCAACAACTGCTACAAGGCAAGACACTCTTCAGAGTATTCTATGCTGAAGCCCTTTTTACATTTACAGCACAGAATGGCGAGCACTATACAAAAATCAGTAATTCAAAGCAGCACAGTCATGATGAAGTTATGTCACGATATTTGATGTCTTTGAGTAAGACCAAGGACTACACAGAAGGCTGAAATTTAAGATCATTCCCTGTTCCGTTTAACCCCTTGAATATTAACTTACTTTTGCATAGGAAGACTAACACCTTTCAGTAATAAGTCTGGTGATCTTCCAGCCTTTTGTAGCTATTACTTTTGGCAGCAAAAACTGTAACATGGTTCCAATGCTTCTTCCAAGGGAGTGCTTTAAATATAGAACATCGTTCTCACAGCTAGATGTAAAAATATTACAAACTCTGCTCTAGCAAGTGCTTCCTACTAACTTTGTTAATGGAAGTAACCCGATGCATTTTATCTTAATTTCTCAACCACTGCAGAAAAGCTTTTATAAATACTTTTCATGCAAAAGAACAAGCACATAATGTTTCAGAGCTCAGCTAGATGTAATGTGTTGTGTGTTTTAAAAATAATTAACCGTATGGTAGACAGGGAAGCATATTGAGGGTTATATCTGCTAGCTGCAGTGTAGCTGCTCTTCCTGGATTTCCTACAAAGCACAGATGACATTACTACTTAGAGATTTGCATATATATCACTAATTTAAAAAACTAGAAAACTTTGTCCAAATATTTGGCAACATTACACAATTTACACTTACAGCACCAGTCTAATGCACTTTGTCATTGTGTCCCAGGAGCATAGAACAGAGTACTGAAAGTCTTATTATTTGAATAACTTAACATTATACCAGAGAAAACACAGGGGAATATATGAGACAAAATACTCATGCCTTGTGGAAAAGCAGAGAATATGAACTACTAAATAGTAGTTTTTCCAATCCTAGGGATGGAAAATTCCCTCAATTTCCATCCCTAAATTCTTAGCCTGCAACACCAGATTGTCTTACTGGGATCTCAAAAGAACATTTTAGCTAGAACTGGACAAATTACTCAGAGAACTTAACTGACTAAAAATACTACTTCTTGGTTGCGGCTGAGTCATACCCAGGCAAATTGCAACTCTGCGTTGATCTGTAACTCAAAATTGTTCACTGGCTGACCTCTGAAATTGATTCCAAGATGGGGCCACATTTACCAGCAACCTGGGACAGGCATGCAGAATCTGAAATTTTGGTTCTTTGGGCTGAACATAAAGATCACACGATATCTGTTTGCTCAGTGACAAAAAGCAGTCAAATTCCTTCAGTAAAGTTTCTGAGCAACCTGTAATTCCACACCTGAACTCAAAGATGCCCCATCCTGAGGTTTATTCATTCCTGAGTTAAAGCTTGGCAAAACCTCTATGCGTAAATGTGCTTACAAGAACTGCAACGATCCATTTTCCAATGTTACTAACACTGGAAATTGAATTTATCCATTCTGAAATACAAGTAAAAAAGGCTTTACCTCTGCTGCATATGTACCACTCTAAGGTCCTTTTTGTTGTCATCACAGCCACATTAAAAGAGTGAGAACTGGCTGGACTCCAGCTCAAGAAGGAACAGAGTCAAAAAAAAAAGGAAAAATAATGCAAGGTGACTTCCACTTCACTCAGAGGCTTGGCTGATCCCACCCTGCAGGCACCTTAAAATCATTTGTCCTTTTAGTAGTTGCTAAACCAGGTCTGCTTTGAAGCGAGAATAGCTGCCTGGGCAGGCAGAAGAGCAAACAGGAGTCCTCACCATCCAAGGGAAAGTGAAAACTCCAGCCTCGGAGAGGGATGGCAAGCAGCCAACGCAAGAGCATCCGCATCAGGGAAGCCCGGTCACCCTGGCAACCAGAGGGGAGGGAAGGAGCCATCTCTGTGGGCAGCAGAAACGGGAGGGGAGGGATAGCTTAAAGGTAGGAATACAGCTGAAAGTGAAATAAAGAACTAGTTATTATAATTGATACCATGCACACACTCTAGGATATGTCAAATGACATTTAGGAACCTCCTCATTAGAGACAGGAAAGAAAACCACAGTTCCGTAACACCACATACGCACCTGCCATGAATCCCAACCCAGAGGGAACAGCCCCAGGCGAAGGAGGCCAAAAGTTCAGGAAAACTCTAGAGCAGTAAATGTATAGCTCTAGTGATCTCAGGTTTAAGTCTGACCATGAAACAGATTTACAAAAGGATTTATCACACATGATGCTAAGGAAAGAGGACTCAGTAGCAAATTATGTTATCTGGGCATAAACCAACTGAAATGTCACATCCTCCAATGGCAATACATCCTTAGCTAGGATATTTGCATCTGTTCTTTATGATAGAGAGCAAACTGTCTTCAGTAAGAAAGCAAATATAGTATCACCAAAATGTAGTAATCAAGGCACTTGTGTATGCAGAGACAGAAAAAAAGGCATATTTGGCAGTGAGGAACTCTGTTTATTATTGATCTGAATGGGTAGCCTGAGAGAATTGCAAATCTGAATCAGAGACCACACATCTAGGATAAGACAGCTGAAGTGACAAAATCTACCAGTATTTCCCTCAAATGGAGGAATTAAGATCATCCCACTAGAGACAAGGCAAAAGTCCCATCAAAGTCCCTCGAAAGCCCCAGTCCCACATACGGTTACAATCAGGATCCAAGAGGTGTAACTGAAAGAGTCATGCTTAGTGCACCTAACTCAAAGGAGAAAAACATCATTATACCAGAGCACTACAGAATCAAACCACCACAGAAGAGCTTGGACACGGAGACTGCTTTGAAGCACTCTTGGGATTTTCTTCAGGAAGAGATATTTCTTTTAATGAGTCCCTAAAATTGGCAACCTCTAGAGAAATGACTCAGGAGAAAGGATATAGGAAAGTCTTTTCTTCAGGAAGGTGAGCAAATCAAGGTCAGGAGGAAAAAAAGAAGAAAAAGAAACCCCAGACATTTCCATTCCCTGTCCCTCAGCACCAGTAACAACCAAATAACTTTCCCCCAGTTAGAGGGCTCCCAACTAATCACACTTACATGATGTTGTACGTAAGTGTGGTTTGAGAGAGAAGGAAATGTCTATTCTCTGTTCTCCCTCTATTCTCTGGTGATCAGTGAGTGGTCAGACCTTGTTACTACTAATTTTTGCATTTGCTCTTAAGTGTCCTTGAGAAGCTTGTTATTGCTTCATGTATTGTAGAAAACCTAATGAAACACAACCGACGTAAGCTGCAAGCAGTATTGTCAGATCTAATGGTTTTATCTTGAAACTTCTTGGCTTTTTTAAAGCTCTCATTCCTGGGGTTGTTTGATTATGTGAAAATCTAATTCTTTTTAAAAGAGTAAATTTTTAGTCTCTGTTGCACTGAGAATACAGAAAACATGAACAGAGGAAAAGAACCCAGTATCTAATATATAGAACCATTTTTAAATGAGTTTTTCATTCTACACCATTATTCTGGAGGCCCTGACTTCTGCTTTTCAGTGTTTGATGTTGCTTATGTTGTCTCTATGATACTAAACCCAGCCTATTTGGCTTTTACACTAGAGGAAACTGCCGAGAAACATACTTTCTTTAAAAGTGGAGTAATTTTACTTTATGGGGAAAAGCAATGTATTGGTCTTACTATGAAGAAAAAGAAAATCAAACAAGATATTTGTTTCATCAGGGTTAAGATTGCCACAGCTAAATAAGCTAATTATAAAAATTCACATTGACTTGTATCTAGCCAGTTCAGTAAGGGAAGATATGCTTGCAAGAGGTATATCCTCAGCATTCAAGCTATTAAATAAATTACAAAGACATTCGAACACAAAGCTCCAACCCTACCCACAATCTGCAGTTAACATTAAGCATCTCTAGTGCACTTATTAAAGCGAAACCCGAAGAACTTACGAGTGACTGGAGGAGATAATAATTCATATCAAGAGTGTCAAGGAGAGGAGTGTAACCCTAGTTCTGCTGCTCACACAGCCTGCAAAGATAAGACTCTT